TGTCTCTGTACCTCAGTTGCTAGGAGTAGCCAACTAGTATCTTGAATGCTCTGCGGGTTCAAATCATTTCAAAGCCTGAATTTTTTTAGGTTTTTTTTCTGCAGTTTCTTATTAACAATAAATTACAGTCTACCTGTGAGGATCATTTCTTTGCTTGAATTTCATCTGAAATTTATTCCTTTCAAAATTATGACTTCTGAAATAACTGAACAACCTGTTAATGTCTCCATTTGCTAATAGGGATATAAACTGAGATCATTTCTCTCATGTAATTGCTGCTTTCTTTATAGCAACTGACACAATGTCAGTTGGTGAGAAATAGATTACTGACATGTATTTGGAACCAGCTGTAGAGGTTTGAAGTAGGTTTAACAACTCAGAGAAAAAGATTATACCTTTGATTATTCCTTTTAAAATTGTGGAAATTCCTGAAATGGTCATGAGCATCAGACCTTGAATAACTCTCACTAAAATGGGGAAGAAAGAGTATAGTCAGCTGTAGAAATAAATAATCAGACCTTGATCTCATATCTTACATGTACGTCATTTTTATCCCATAAAAGCGGACTCAGTACTCGTAAAAACGTAGAAGATGGATTCAAGCTGTTGTGTCCGAGGCGGCTCGTGTAAAGTTAACAAGCCATCTTTCTTCACGTGTCCATTGAAGAGAGTCGCCTGGAAAACTGACTCAAAATGGCCCTTTGAACGTTCCAGTTTCGTTTTATAACACGGAGGACTGCAGAGTGCTGACCTCGCCTTTCAGTAAAAGAAGAAGCCTAGCAGGCAGCGCGCTCTTAAGGCTCTGACTGCTCCACGTGATCCGCTGGGCCTGCAAAAACCACAACTGCAACGTCAACGGGAACATTACTAAACATAAGGTTTAATGAATAGAACAATAGCTTTGTAGGTGCGTTATAAATTTTTCTAAATTTCTCTGCGTCCTCTGCAAAACTACAACGTGAAATCACCAAACTCTGCGTTTTTTGGAGAACGTGACCGACGACGGTTATTTTTTTAATTTTCTATTTCTAATTTAACGCTCTGTTCCTTATTTAGTTTCAGATAGATTTGACAGTGAAAAACAAACTAAACGACTTTAGAGTAACGCAAGGTTCGTAGGTAAAATAAAGGTTCACTTTTTAACCGACGTTGTCCACGGCATCGCC